CCCCAAAACCCCAAAACCCCAAAACCCCAAAACCCCTCAGCTAATCTGCTTAATTGAAAATGATGGTGAAAAATTACCAAATTCTTCTCATATATAATTCTTTTAATCGTAAAAATAGATCTCAGATAGACAAGCCCTCTCTTTTAACTTATTAAAAGACCAATTTTAAGCCTATTTACTTAAATCTTAGTTGTTTTCATATATCTTAATGGCTCCTGAGAGCTTTTGTATTCCTTAACTATTTGTTCTTTATTCTTATCATCATTATATTTCTCACTTGTTCTAGAAGAATTAACCATGACTTACAGCTCCTGAATCAGTGTTATGAGCATTTTATTTGCATCAAGAGGTGTATCATCGTACTTCTGCAGCATCTGGCTCAAGTAGTTACGCTTATTTGCTTTAAATTGTTCCTTAATTATGTTAAACTCCATTTCTTCGAAGATATTCTGACAAGGCTCTAGAGATGTTAATGTAAAAATACCTTCTTCGACTATATCATCTAGCTTCTGTACGATAGTCCGGAGTTTCTGGTTGACTTTTCTAGTCTTAAGGCTACTCTTGACTCTGGGAGTTTTATGAGTTGACTCTGACTCCATCCGATGCCTCCTACGGTTGCTAAGATGAGATGTAAAGGGAAGTTTGCAGGCAACTACGTTATTTTTCAACATCTTTCTCCTCCAGGTCTAAATGTAATTGTTCAAATTACTTAAATATCTGACCTGGGATCTTTCTTCATCCATGGCAGGTGTCTGACACCTAAGCTTGTTGGATTCCAATCTGAATAATTTCTTGATGTTGCTGTTCCTTTTTATGAAATACACTCTGCTAGGTCTTCTCTCTGACTGGAGATTGGATAGAGTTGCACTCTGACTTGGCGTATTACACAAGAAATTTCTCTGTGAGATGTTCTACAGTAACGGATAAAATTTACATCTGAGGTCTCTATTCTGATTTTATCCTTCAACTCATCCCCTTTCTTCTCAATATTTGGAGATCTTGAGTCTTGAAATTTAGAGACTTTAATATCCCTCTTGGGACTGATTATTAAATCTCTGTTTCTTGGTGAGAAATTATTACCTATAAGTCAAAATCTTATCTTACTTTGTTGTGTTTTTATCCAATTCTTTCCTCCTGATTTCTTCTTATTCATATCATTTATCTTATGCTCATCTATAATGAATGATTAGCCTTGATTTAGGATGAGATCTTTGAGATAAATGAATTCTACTGTAATTGCTTACCGCCACCTCCAAAAATATTCAAATTGTTGAGTTTGTTCTCTTTATTTAGGTGATCTCAATACTGAAACTAAGAGCAATTAGTTTAAATTCATACCATGATTTTGTTCATCTCTCACATTAATAGTGAGCTCGAATTGGTTCCCTAAGTTGGGACTCCTAAACCATCAACCTTTATATTCTTACTTTCTTGGCTTGATGAGCTTCTTGCCTCTTCTACTCTTGGAATTTATTCTCAATCTATTATGAATCCCCTTAATTCCTCGAGGGAGTTTGACTAAATTATCATCTTTGCCAACAGGAAATGGGGTCCTAGAATTATTAGTCAACCAAATTTACTTTTTGAGTAATTTCGCTGAGGTGCTTTTGCCTCTTGGAGACAGGCTCTTTACAGTCTTATTCTCCTTCTACAGGTTAAATCTGGTGGTACCTTTATGACTTTTTCAATAAAATGCCTTGCTTTGTGGATATAAAAGGCAAGAGGCTCCTGCACAAATTCTTCAATCACCTGAGCGTTATTAGCATCATTATTTGCACTTGAGAGTGAACTTTCCTCGCATTAGGGCTTTATTGATTATCTCAGAGTCTCTAGCGAGATGGTCAATAGGCTTGCAGTAGGAGTAGGACAGTTTTAATTCATTCTTCTTGTACTGGTCCTCCATTAACTTTCTTTTTATCCTAAAGATGCTAACAAGATGTTACATTTGATATTTTTGGAGGGTGAACATCTGGTTCTCATCTATATAATAGGGATAAATCTACAAGCTAAGAGCTGGGGTAACTTGCATAATCTAAATTACCTTGAAATTTTGGGCTGTCAAAAAACTCATATTCAGCCTCGATGCTACTTCTTTCGAATAGCCCGTCAATGATATCAAAGTATTTACGTGTTGAATTCTTGACCTATTTTAGATGCAATGAAAGGTTACCTTGTCAGGTAAGTCAAGCTTCTCAGAACTTGCCGACATTCTGCTTTAATATTTAGAAATTCTTACATGTTTTTGGGGTTTTGGGGTTTTGGGGTTTTGGGGTTTTGGGG